AGGCCGGTCTCAAACTTGCAATCCTCCTGTCTCAGCCTCCTGAGTAGTTGGAATTGTAGGGCTGTGTCACTGTGGCCAACTGTCCAACTTTCTTCATAGTGGTAATTCTCTAGAGAATTATAGATTAACATGAGGCAAGGAGCACTTAATGAGAACATTAAAATTACTTCTGTAAGAAAAGACGGGGGCTGGGGTTGTTGCTCAGTGGCAGAGTGCTTGCCTTGCACATGTGAGGCACTGGGTTCAATCCTCAGCATCACATAAAAATGAATAAGTGAAATAAAGATATTACATCCATCTATAACTAAAAAATATATAAAAAAAAAAAAGAAAGAAAAGACAGGTAGGCTGAGCATGTGCCTAAAATGTGCAAGGCCCTAGGTTTGATTCCCAGCAACACAAAAAAGAAAGACCAAAAGCTATGTTGTTATCCTGCAAGTATTTTTATGCTTAATATGTTAAACTGTAAAATTCTTTGGTGTCAGAAATGTTTTATGAAATCATCCAAATATTTCCAGCTCCTAGTACACCAAAACTATCATGATAGTACAGCTTCCAGTGTTTCTTAAAAGAATGATTGATCTCTTTTGCTGAAAAGTGAAATATGCCCAATAGAGCAATTAAAGGCTGATTATTTACTTTAGTAAAGGAAACAACAGACATCTTTAAATACTTCCCTAGTATATTTGAAATTGCCTATAAAGATTTAACTTACATTATATTAGGTATATATGTTGCTTATTAGTTAAGGGATACCTATGGACAAAAAAAATAAATTAAGAGGAATTGAACTTCTTAAGTTTAAATACTGGCAATTTTGTTTGGAGCAGACTTTAGTGGGAAATAAAAATTACTGATTCAGAAATAACTCGAGGCATAAGGTCTCCAACAGCATAACCACATACTAAATTACAGACACAACCAACTATAGCAACTTCTGAGACAGCAAGCATGTTATCTGTATATTACCTAGATTCCAACAGACCCTCATCTGTCTGAAATGACACAAACCAAAATTTGCCTTTTTTATGAACTACTTTTTAATTTGGGATTCCTTAAAAGGTTTTGTTTTGCTTCTCATTTTTCCAAGTCTTACTTTCATGTATAAAGGCAGCAGTCATAGGGTCAAGCACAATAACTTAAGAGGTTTCTGGACTGGCAACTGTAGCTCAGAGGTAGATGGCACTGTCCTGGGTTTGATACCCAGCACCAAAAAAGGAGAAACAGAAGGAAAAAACAAAAAAACAAACAAACAACAACAAWAACCCCCACATTTCTTAGACTCAAATACTGTCTTCTACCTACTAGCTGAATTAATCTCTGTCTCATTCTTCTCAACTCTAAAATGGGAGAATAAAACAGTATTGCCAGGTGTGGTAGCTACCTTGCCTGTAATCTCAGTGGTTCAGGATCCTCAAAACTTCAAAGCCAGCCTCATCAAAATTGAGGTGCTAAGCAACTCTGTGAGACCCTGTCTCTAAATAAAATACAAAATAGGGCTGGGGATATGGCTCAGTGGTCAAGTGCCCCTGAGTTCAATCCTCAGTTCCAAACAACAACAACAAAAACCACACACAAAAAAACAGTATCTAAGAATTCTGAGCAACAGGCAGTCCCTGGTACATTAGACTAAAACCATAAAACCAAGATATACAATCTACTGAAATATGATTCAGAGGACTGGGGCTGTAGCTCAGTGGCAGAACACTTACCCAGCATGTGTGAGGCACTGGGTTCGATCCTCAGCACCACATAAAAATAAATAAAATAAAGTCATGCTGTCCATCAACAACTATTAAAAAAAAAAAAAGTACTCCCACATTTCTCATTATTCCATATTTATTAAAATGGTCAAATGTGCTTTTCTCAGCTAAGGTTTTAAAACAACCACTGGTAAGAAAACTGTTGAATTCATTCAAAATAATGGCTTCCCATCTCCCCCATCCCCCCAAGTTAAAAGCTCTGAAAACAAACTATCCAGAATGAACTGAAAGAATGTTTTTTTTATTAACATGTACAGTTTTGGGTACCCTGTTAAAGTTTCACCCAAGTATAGTAAACAACAATGTCAAAACACAAAGCAAATAGTCATTTTTATAAAGAACTTGAAATGATTTTGTTGTAAAACCACCAAGGTAAGTACAGAAAAATTCCTAGGGGAATTGACAAAATAAGTTTATGTGTTTGAAAGAATGTAGAAAGACATATGCTAAGGAAGAGAACTATTTGTTTTACTACTAACTTCGACGATTTTTTTTTCACAATAGCATTTTAACTATTTTATCTTTTAAAGGGAAACCTGAAACTCAAGTTCCTTTCCAAATACTGTAAATTTACTGTTTCTGGTTTCCAATCTATGAAGTTTTGTTTGCAGTTAAAACTTCTGAATCTATTTTTTGTTGGTTTTTAAGAAGTAAACAAAATGACAGTCTTTGTTTAAAAAGGCACAACAATCAGGTGCCACATATCTAAACTGTTTTCATTTGCTGAATTATCTCACACCATTGTAAATGTCCCTAGTTTAACAGCACCCGATTTCCTTTCAAGTACAGATATAAAAAAAAATCTTAGAAAAGATAATCCAAAATATCACTCATTTCATTTTTGGTTGTTAACTTATAAAGAAAAGAACGTTCTGTTATTAAACTAAAACACAAACCACCATTAACTCTGCGTCTTCCTGGTAAGCAATATATTAATATCAAAGTTAAAAGCAACAATTTCAATAAATAACAAGCCAATCTCAGGGCACAACGATGGCAGATAAAACTGACACCACAGCACAATTTGAGCTATAAGCAACTTCCAAAATCAAAAAACAAAAACCGCACCCATTCTTAAGTAAACTTTTGGAGTAAGCAAACTTTCAGAACCCTACCTTTGTTTCCACCTAACAAAAGAAGTCTTCAATACACCAATAATAAAAAATAAAAACAACTAAAAGAACAAAAGATCCAGTTAATGTTTTATAGCGAAAAACTATCAAAAATGTTACGACATGTTAACGAATTTAAGTTATCCAAGAACAAGGTACTTCCCCTAGCTACAGCCATTTTAGATTCAGCTTTTCTTTTGGATTCCACGAATTGGGGAATAGAGTTAAAACGGGGGGGGGGGGGGGGGGGGGGGGGGGGGGGGGGGGGGGGGATACTGGCTGGAAGACTTCAAGATCACCAGCTTTCTCTCCCCAGGAGAGGAGGCCTGGTTGACATTGGAAAAGACAATCTAAATGAAAACACCCTGCTCCCACGGAGAACCGGGACAGCGGACGTGAAAGTTCCTCTTTTTCCCCTCAGCTATCCCACATCTGACTTACACGACTTTTTCCTCCTAGGTTTTCCTAATAAAAGCCTTTGGTTCTCATTCTAAGGGAAGAAAAAGAAACATGTAAACCGAGCCACTCCACCACCTTGCAGCCGTAACGCCTCGAGAGGAAGAAGCCAGAGAGCCGCAGGTGAGCGTTCCGACCCAAGACTAAAGTGAAGTAGGCGCGCTCTGGCGGCGACGCTCGTGTGCAAAGCTCCACGCGCGCGGGGGAGGGGGTGCCCCGTCCGAACTACAGGACCCGTGGGTTCCGCTCACCCATCCCACGGCGGACCTGTGCTCAACCACCTGTGTAAAACCTTCCTCCAACTAGTTTTAACACACGGCCGGTGAGGCACCGGGCGGAGCCCAGCGCTGAGCCAAGGCGCCAGGGTCCCCTACCGCTCCGCAGTCCGGAACTCCCACTCACCAAGCAGCGGCGGGGCTATAGCCAAGGACAAGACGCGGCGTCTAAGGACGCGTCCCCAGTTTCTTGGCCCGGCAAAGGTGACTAGCCCACAACCATAACAAAGCTCTTCCCAAAATGGCTGCCCGGCCCACAAGGCCCAGGAGGGGCAGAGTGGGTGGAGGAGGAGCGAAGAACCAGCCGGCCTTCTCCCACCCCCGACCCCGCCTCATACACGCCCACCCGCAACAGCGCATGCGCACAGGCACTGCTCCGGTGACACTGCTGGGGATCGCCGCGTTTCAGACTGTCAACGTTCSGCCGAGGTAATGGCGGTTATTCCCTGCCCCGCCCCCAGCTCCCTTTGGCGTGGCTCAAGGTGGTGCACGGTCGCTCTTGCCCCAGTGCAGAGTAGAATCCCTTGCCTTTCCTTGTGCTGAACGGCAAAGACCAGCTGAGTTTAGTAGTTTTCCTTCATATCCTCCAGGCCAAACACTCGGGCCTGGGCGCGGGTGAATGAGTGGGTGGAAATGTATTTGGGTACCCGGTCTTCCCCGCCCATTCTTTCTTCAGCCTCCCACACTCCACCTCTGGGCTACCTCGCATCGCGGAACTACTTCAACCAAAACTAGCAAATCGGTATCGGAAGGATCAGTGTTTCCCGACCCCTGCCCACCTTCCGCTCCTTCACACGTGCGTGTCCTTGAGACTCCAGCCCCCAGCGGGCCTCAGGGCTCTGCTCCACAGGCCTGCGAGGGTCGGCGCGGCGCGTTACCCGCCGGGAGCCGTAGTTCCTGGGCACCGCAGGCGTCGCGCCCCCGCCCCAACGTAGGGCGGGTTTCTCACCGGGCCTGCGCCTTTGGTAAGGCGAGAAGCTGTTTCTCCTACCCGACGTCTCATTGGGTATCGCAGGACGGGAAGGGGCGGCGCTACTATGCCAGAGAAGGAAATAAAGTGAAAGCCCAAAGACTTTGAAGAGTTATTATGTAGAGTTTACTCAGGTCCTATTCTGCAGCCGTATCAGAATGATGGTAACCAGAAAAGTAGACAAGCTGAATCCGGAAGCATGGGGGGAAGTGCCCGGCGTGGGCACCTAGACAAATGAGCTCTTCAAATTGTCTTCGGCTTTATCCTTAAAGACGGAAAGACGCTCAGATTACCTGGTATAATTTCCTTTGACAGACTGACAAGAGACCCAAAGAAGAGAAGGGACTTGCCCAAGGTCACAGAAACAAGAAGTAAATTGAAGCCGAGGGTGGCAGAGGAATCATCCCCCAAACCCAAGGTTCTTAACGCTAACCTTGCTTCATAGAAGTGAAGATCTTGCTTCTTTGTGCTCTTTATTCCTTAAAAAAAGTTTGTAGGTCCTAGGAAAGAGAATGAAGTAAAAACATTCCCTTCCCAACAGTAGTAAAGAACAATAACACGGAATAAGATGTGTCCGGTCAATCCAACTCCGTTGTTTTGCAAAGTAAAATGAGTTCCGGAGATGGCAATTTGGCCAAGTCACACTTGACCTAGACTCCAAGTCGTCTACTTTCCTCCTTTACCATCACTGAGATTGTTTCAGTGGTTGCACTCTACCTTCCCGAAGCTGCAGGGAGATTCTGTTAGCTTGGAATCCTGGAAGAGAGACCGTTCAGGTACCCTGTTCAACAGTCGACTTCAACTAGAATTGAGATTTTTTTTAGAAGAATGACATCAAGACGGAAAACCAGGCGTGGGAACGTTTGCGCCAAGTCAGGTTCCCACCCGGACTCATTTTTTCGGGTTCCAGGATGTGAGGAGTGTATAACTCGATTTTCCGGAACTGTGCCTTTCCGCGAATCCCTGTCCTTGAAGTTTAGCTTGCCTTTTTACTGGCGCGACGCTGGCAAGTAAGTTAAGTATCTGGGCCACAAAGGTGCACGTTCGGGACGCGGTCATCAAGAGATCGGTAGTAATAGAAGAAGCGAGTACTTTTTGCCAAGATTTTCCGAAGATCCTTGCGTCAAAACCCTTTCCCTTTCCTAAAATGTCGGCTTGAGCCTTGCAATTTGCACTCCTTCCATTGAGGAAATGGGAACATTTGAAAATTTTTATACGAATTGGAACACGACGTGGTAGCGCACGCTAGCGACTCGGGAGGCTGAGGCAAGAGGATTGCAAGATTGAGGCCAGCCTCAGCAATTTACTGAGGCCCTAAGCAACTTAGCAAGCCCCTGTCTCAAATAATAAAAAAAGCCACAGACGTTCAGTCCTGGGACCAAAAAAAAAAAAAAAAAAAAAAGAGTCACCTGAAATGGGTAGATTAGCCCTGGGGTCTTTGTACTTTAACTCCGTGGTGTCACCCATTCGTCTTCAGTCTTTGCTTTTTTTTCTTAAAGAGAGAGTGAGAGAGGAGAGAGAGAATTTTTAATATTTATTTT